TTCCCTCTCTTTCTCTCTCCCTTCCCCTTTTCCCATCTCCACTGTTCTTTTTTCCCTATGTGTGACCAGACTCAGACGCAGTTGGAGCATGCCCGAATACGGGAGCTCGAGCAGAGCCTGCTGTTTGAGAAGGCACAGGCTGAAAAACTCCTCAGAGAATTAGAGGACACCAGGGTAATCGACCCCCACTTGCCCTGCCTGCAGAACAGCGCGCTTGCCCCCTGCGTTGATGCTCATGATGCCTTGCTTTGGGTTTCTTTTTTTTTGTTGTTTGTGGGGTTGATTGGTTTTGGCTTGAATTTAGGCTTTTTGTTTGGTTTTTAGGGTTTTTTTGTTTGGTTTGTTTCTTTGCTCTCTCTCCTGGAAATGGTAGTACAATATAATTTCTAGCTTTGCTTCTTGTGTGGGGACTTGTTTCTCAGATTGAGTTTGCTTCTCTGCCCCATGCCACCATTTGACACATGAGCTCTTCACAATTCATGTTTCAATTAACATGCCCAAATAATATCTGCACCCTGCACAATTCATTCTGCCTCGAGGCTCCCCCAGGCTGCAATAGAAAATAACATTGCAATCAGCATTCCCTTTGTCCTCCCTCCAGTGTGGGAGCTGCCATCTGAAATGGCAGATACTGGTGAGTGCAGGTGGACCAGCTCTGATTGCTGGCCATGCCTGTAACAGGGCAGGCTGCCCAGATGAAAAACGCACCTGATCTAAAAGCAGCCAGATGTGGAAAGGACTTCTCCATGCTGGTGTGGTGTGGGAAGCAGCAAACTTGCCTACAGTGAGCTCCTCACCAATGGATTTGTTAGAGCTGTAGAAAACACAAACGTGAGGTTCTCCAAAAGGGCTAAGTGGTTTGAATGTCCCTGTGCCCATCTAAAATAGAAAATACCTAGCCTCCTGGGCTGATGGTTAGTGGGGAAAACAGCAATTGAAATGAAATGGAATTGATCACTTCTGTTTTGGCACTGGAAGATCTGCTTAGCTTCCTTGTTTCTTCTGCCTTTTTCTAATATTTCATCTAGTCAAATCTCCTCTTCTCCATCCATAGCCACAGCACCCTGAAACCCCTGTGACTGGCAGGTAGTTCAGCCCTGTTAGCTTACATCCAGATTGTAAGACATTGATCCATAGCCCTTTTGCTCAGTGTTAACCATGGCCAGATTTATTGTCTTGCATCCTCTAGCCTTCTACGTTAATTTTACTTTGCTAATAAACTCTAACAGGTACTCATGTGTAAAAATCCCTTTTCCTTTTTACACCAGGGTAAACAAATTACGATGCAGAATAGAGGTCTGTAGGCTGAGGATTGCTGAGCAATAAAGGAAACATGATATGTTTAATGCTGGTTTCAATGCTTTTGATATTCCTGCATGTGCAGTCACATTTCCTCTGTGCATCATCTGGCAAGATGCCTAGTCTGGAAATATAATGCCCTTTCAGGACATTATTTTTCATGAACCACTGTTGCTCTCTAGCGAATTTCAAGGGTTGCTTCAAAGACGTGTGTTTCTCTGTGGAAAACAAGAGGTTCATATTAGAAAAAACAAATTGCAATTGGCACAAAGACATAACTGTTAGAGTCATTGGTGATAGTTACCCTGGTGCAAAACTGTACTCAGACTGGAGGGTGCTGGGTATTCTTTTCCTGTTTATTTGAACTTTGACTAATGTACTTCAGATTTGGTTCCACTGGAGCACACTTACTAAAAGGAAGGATACAGCAATGAGAGGTGGGGACTGACTTTGTCTTTTCTGTCATGTTGCAGTTAACCACAGTAGCGGAGAAGTCCAGAATCCTGCAGCTGGAGGAGGAGCTGAGCCTCAGGCGCAGCGAGGTGGATGAGCTTCGACAGTGCCTCAGGAGCTCTCACCAAGCAGAGACCCCTGAGCATAACCTTGGTTTGCAGTCAGAGGCTCTTCGTCTACGAGATCAATTGCTGTCTGCCAACAAGGAGCATCAGAAGGAGAGCAGCCAGCTAAAGGAGAAGTATGAGAAGACATTAAAGAAGTACCAGCAGGAGATGGAGAAGCTGAAAGCTGTCAATGAGAAGTATTCACAGGAAATCGTTGATCTAAAGCATAAAGTTCAGCAAGCCACTAATGAGAACATGGGGCTTATGGACAACTGGAAGTCCAAGTTGGACACGTTAGCTTCTGACCACCAGAAGTCTCTGGAGGACCTCAAAGCCACACTGAACACAGGCCCTGACACACAGCACAAGGAGATCGTGGAACTGAAGGCAGTGGTGGAGAGCATAAAGATGGAGCACCAGCTTGAGTTAGAGAACCTGAAAGCAAAGCATGACATTGAGACAGCTGTTCATATAAAGGAGAAAGAGAGCCTCAAACTGAAGTTGCAGGAGGCTGTGGATGAAGTGGAAAAAAGCAACAGCAACTGGAAAATGCAACTGGAAGCCAAAAGCAATCAGCACCTTTTTGAGCTCCAAGATGTGAAGGACAAGTGTCGAGATGCTGAGCTGAGGGTGCATGAACTGGAGAAACTTCATGGTGAATATAAAGATCAGACACAAGCAATAGCTTTCTTGAAAGAGCAGATTTCTTTGGCTGAGAAGAAGATGTTGGACTATGAAACATTGCAGAAAACAGAAGCCCAGAGCAAACAGGAGATCCACAGATTGCAGGAGAAAGTGCTTGTTTTAGAGAATAAGCTGCAGTCCATGGAGGCCCTGCATCCTTCTCAGCATGCAAATGTATGACTTCTGGGTCATTCTGCTTGTTTGTTATCACTGTTAGTAACCCTTCCTAGGAGTAGCCCTCAGCTGCTCCCTTGCACAATTTTCTGAGGCTTCTATGCCTCAGAATATCTGGATGTTTTTACCTTCCATTGGTAGTACTTTTTCTGCACTGCATCTCCATGCTGAAGGTGTCTTCCCATTCTTGAAAGCCAGTACAGTGGCACAATTAGAAGAAATAAGAGTCGAGAAGCAAGTGGGCCACATCTGGGCTTGAAGCCACATGAGAGCTGTGGCAGCAGAACAGGACTATCATAGTTTGTCGGGGTGGGCTCTCATCCTGAGCAGCCAGTGTTCTTAGCTGAAAAAGCATCATTTCTACAATACAGATATTGTCCTCCAAGGACCTGCAGCAGCCTTAGTGCATTAGTGAGCAAGGCCCTTTAGGGGTAGGTGGAGGACAGGGTGGAAGAAGAGTTATTGCCCATGCTGAGATAGAGCACGGAACTTGCTCAGCATGTGGAGCATGGTTTGAGAGCCTCAGTTAGGGGGCTGAGCTGATGGGATTGGGTGGGAGGTGCGTGCCAGCAATGCAGCAGAGGCACTGGGGAGGCTTTGCAGCATGTATGGGAGACACAGGGAAATGTTGACTTAGAGGATTGTAGTGGAAGAGCTGCTAGCAAGGGTCAGGATGGCACCAGGCTGGGGAAATAAAATGCCTGAATGAATACGAGTCCTGAGCCTCCCAGGGAAGGCTAGAAAAGAGCAGTAATAATATGAAGAGGTCAATTTTCTGTGGCTTTTGTGTCTTTTTAAGTCATCCTCATTTCTTTGACTGTTTGCCACGGGATGCCATCCTGCCTTTGTGGCATGGTACAGGGACACATGGCTGGCTTTGCACTAGAGTGAGGGGAGGAGATTGCTATTCATGGCTTTAGGCTGGACCCCTGTTTGTTTTGGATTTTGCATGAGAAATGAGCAGAAATCCCACTTGTCCCTGTGGGGATGCAGAAAATGAAAATAAGCCACGAAATGTGCGCGTTCTAAGCATACACATTTGAAATCTCTCTCTGGCGATGTAGTCGCTGTTCCAGACTGAGGTGCCAATGAAGTGAATACAATGCCTATGTTTAATTTGCCAACGTGAACAGCCCCATTGAAATTGGTTGCACCTTTAGGCACCAAAGTCAAACCCATGAATTACTGTTGGCCAAGTCAGAGCTTCATGCCTGCAAAAAGACACGCTGAACTGGACAGGAGAGGCAAAAGCCCAAGGAGGAATCTACAGCATTAATGGTGTTTCAAGGGATGCTCAACATGTTTCATCTAGTAAAGACAGTGGTGAATAAGTACAACCAGGGCTGGGAAAAGTGGGTGGTTATTACAACCTGTCACTTATTATAGCCAATATTCAAACTGGAGTGAATGTAAAAGAAGCAGCTGGAGGCTTGTTCTAGAGCCCTTTAAATAAATGAGAGGGCTCCGGGAGATATTGATACTGGATTAGAACCAGGGAGTCTTGTGATTATTATTTTAACTACATGTTGATTAAAATCAAGAAAATGTGGGAAGAAATGCATGGGTGAAAGCTGTTGAGTATCACAGGGCAAATTCTGTTTTTAAATGTCTTAACTAATGTAATGTGACTGCAGTATTAACTGTCCAAATATTTTAAACAAACAAATGTGTTTTGTGACCATCTTTCCTAGACCTTTAAGTGAGAACCACAGCTCTGCTTCCAAAGAGCAGTTAAATAGTTTTTCTGTACCAAAAGTACATCAGGCGGCGTATTCGCCCTTTGGGTGTGCTCCTGCTTCTGTTCGAGACATATCCTGCAGCCTACTCATGCTCTCGGGGCCTGGCCTCAGGGCTTTCAGCAGTGGTGGCCGCAGCAACTGCTTGATCGGGGGCACGTGCTGAGGTCCCACCAAAGGCTGCTGGACATGAAGAGGCTTGAAGGGCTGAATTGTGGCCTCTGCAATGGAAAGCTTGGCTTGACCATGAGCTCTACAGTCTCTGGCTTTTCACTGCAGTATAGATAAAAGAGGATGGGGAAGAGGCAGAATCCTCTATATGAACCAGCATTTGCTTTTTATTATTTCTATTAATGTATGCATTCTCTAATAATTACTATTTTATCAATGTTTTATTACTGTTTTTATAACTTTGGGCACAGTTAGATTCTTCAGAAGTTGAGGAACTTGTTATTCTCACAGGTCTCAAGCTGAATGCTAAAGAGCATTTGCACATGAATATTTGCCATGATTAACCACAGGAGACTGGTCCAAAGGAGAGCAGCTCTTCCATCGCTCTGCAAAAACTCTTGGTGTGTGAAAGCTGGAACCAGAGCTAATGGGGAAAGCCTGATCTCTTTTCCCTCCCGGGTGAATCTTGCTGTTGTGCTCAGCTGCCTGTTGTGCGTGGGCACTCTCAGATGGTACTGGTTAACCTTCAGTAGTACCCAGCTGTAGAAGTGACTCCTCAAAAGCTTTTGTTTCCCTCTCAGGAAGGATCTCAAACATCGTAACTTGGGTACCAGATACGCTTCGGCTTTGGATGGGGCTTTGTGGTTGTTAACTTTGCTTTCAGTCTTTGGGTAAAGGGCTGTTTTACATCTCATATTTTACATTTATTTCAGATGATTGAATCTAATGATATTTCAGAAGAAAAGATAAAGATGAAGCAGACTATGGAAGGTATGAAATTGTAATCTTTTTTTCTTGGAACACCCTGTTCTTGTGACTCGTGTGCCTTCCCCTCGTCTAACTTTCTGCTCTTGCAGGGATGGCTGTGTGGAAGGGGAAGGCATTTCATCTCTTGGATTTTGCTGGATGACATTTGTTGTCTGGCTTCCCCCACCCCTAATCTGGCTGAGCATATGCAGGGGTGGATGTTTTTACTTGTGTTACATGCTGACCATGCAGATGGTGCAGGTTGGAGACAGATCTAGGGAAATGGGCACACTTCCATGCCATCACTGATTTTTTTACAGCAGGTAAAATCCAGCCATTAAATGTAATTTGTTCATAGGAGAGGACTGCTAATGGTCGATATTAATGTGACTGGCTTAAAAGAATGGGGGTTACTTTTTTTTATTAAGCTTAGTATAAATCAAATCCATCCTTTTAACAAAACGCAGAATTTATGCACTCAGAAAACTTGTATAAAGTAGCTTTGAAACTGAATTTCACTCAGCCTCCCTCACAAAGAGGGTAAGCTGTAACCCCTAGTCTGAGAAACAGCAGACCTGGCAAGATTAGAGCTGGGTGGGCCAGATGGTCTCTGTTGGGAGTGAGGTCCTACCACATTGTTGTGTGTGACATACGTTTTTGGGTGTCTACGAAGGATTCAGGGCTGTTTCAAGACAACATAAGGTGCTTCCAGATCACATCTCCCCTTGCTCATTCCCAGGAGACTTCTATTTCTCCATTCTTCCTTAGGGTGGTTTTTTTTTTTTTTCTTTTTAGCAGAAACATTATCAGTGTAGATCACAAAAGTGATCTCTAAAGAACTAACTTGTCAGTTCTCTTTTCAAATGGCATTTGGCCTAGGGTGGCATAGCTTTTTCTCAATTATTCATCTCTAAGGAGTCTGTTCCCTGCAAAGCCCTTGTTAAAGTCCTGCTGAGGATGTAGCAATCTAAGCGGAGGTTACTGGGGACTTCTGCAGGCTTAAACTTCACTTAATAGAAACTGTGTTTAGCTTGAGTGTTGCTCCAGCTGTTTGTGGACTCAGAGTTGTTGTGTCCTATTTCCATCTGCCCTCAATGCTAGCTAGGCATTGTCAGTCAGCCTCACCACTGTCTTTGCAGGTACAGGATTACATACATGCTATACCAAATTGTACACTGATTGACAGGTAATTCTTGCCTGGTGAGGGCAGAACATAACTAGGTCCAGCAGCCACTGCTCTTGCACATGCACTGAATGGCCATTCTATGTTGTTTCCACACTGAATAAGCCATATATAGGATGTACTGAAAACAACGGGTTCAGATGAGCCACAGAAGTATCATACTTCAAATCCACAGCTCTGAGTGTGAAAATACATCAGTTCCAAAAAACATGTCTTTTAAAACTGTTTCTGCATTCCAGTGTAGGAGGTAACACAAAGAAATATGCCGAGAGTTCATTTCTGTGGTTTTTATTAATGTTTTATCCCCCCTGCCTTGTGGTTGCTTTCTTAAACCTGTCTGATACAGCTTCCCAGCTGTGTATCTTGTCTCCTAATACCTGGATGGTGGTGAGATGCAGTGAGAAGCACCCGTTACCTGTCTCCTGCTGCTTCTCTGCCAATGGAGGGCACCACCACTGTGCCCCTGTCACACCCCAACCCATGCCGTACACTCGATACCTTCCTGATTTGCACAAAGCATTTTCCAAGCTTCTAACCTTTGTCTTTTCTTTTCGTTGTCCCACAGACCTCCAAGACAAGCTGAGTAAAAGAGACAAAGAGGTGTCATCACTGGTGTCCCAGACTGAAACTCTAAGGGCCCAAGTAAGTGGTAAGTTTCCCTAATCCAGTGCTGGTGGGAACTAGGTGTTTCCCTGCTTGTCCTCTGTACTGGTGTTAAACAAGGGCCCAGGTGCTGAAAGGGGCAGGTATAAAACATGACACTGCCTGCCTCTTAGTGGATATTGTTGGTAAAAATTTGTTCAGGAGTTCTGGTCTCTTTTCAGGAGGTGAATACAAACCCTGCAGAAGATATTTGTATCCTGTGAGAAGGGGGTTTTGAGCTTATTGAATGTCAAAAGCTGAAAGAGGCAGAAATAAATGGAGCTGGGAGTGTTGTTTCTAAGATCTCCCCGTAAACAGAGCTAGATCCAGAGCTAATGAGACCTGTGGAGTGGGAATTGGGAAGAGGCAAAAAGCAGAATGTAAGTAAGGGACTAAGTGACCTTTCTTCCCCCTGTATCCTCTGCTTCTCGTAGCTTTGGAAAATAAATGCAAAATGGCAGAAAAAAAGGCTGATTCGGTGTTAAAAGAAAAGAAGAGGCTGGAAGGTGAACTGGAAGCCTTGTCCAAGAAAACACACGATGCTTCAGGGCAACTGGTCCTGATCAGCCAGGAGCTACTCAAGAAGGAAAGGTCAGTCTGCAGGTCTGAAGGATGGAGCTGGAAACAGGGGGCTGTGTGTGTTCGTTCAGGGTGCTGTAATTTATCACCAAAAGAAATCTAAAGGTTGAATTGTTGAAGTCCAGTCCCCAGCTTTCCTGTTCTTTAGAGATGCTCATGTGGGAATTTGGTTAAAATTAGGGGCTATGAATTATCAAAGGGACAACCCTTCCACTGCTCGCCAGGAGCTGCAAGGTGGCTCTGTGCCCATGTAGATGCTGAACGAAGTCATCTACAAGCCAGCTAAGCTGTCTGCTGCCCTGCTGTGAAACATGGTGCCCTGTGCAGGTCCCAGACTCTTTACAGCTGATACAGTGGGGAGGACAGGAGATCTGAAGCTCCCGAAGTGGTGGGAGTTGGGTCAGGTTTGTTCGCTGGCCTTTCTTTGGATCGGTAACAAAGGTGGGAGGGAGCATGGCGGGACTCCAGTGGTGTGCGGGCTCTGGAAATGTCTTCACCTTTTCATGCTGCTTCTTCCAGGAGCCTGAACGAGCTGAGAGTGTTGTTACTGGAGGCGAACCGGCACTCGCCTGGGCCAGAGCGGGACCTGAGCCGGGAGGTGCACAAAGCTGAGTGGCGGCTGAAGGAACAGAAGCTCAAAGATGACATCAAGGGGCTGCGAGAGAAACTGATAGTGCTGGTGAGGGCACCAGAACCCCTCCTGGTCTTGACCTGGGGCTGGAGGGCTCTGTGTGGCCTTGAGGAGGGGTTCTAGCCCTTCACCCTTACTCCAAGTCTTCATGCTTTCTTTTGTGCTACTGAGCATCTGATGGGAATTTCCTTGGCAGTGCCTGTGAGCTGTGGCCTGGCTTAGTAGCACCTCATTAAGCAGCAAAAATGCCCATCTGTCCTTCTCCAGTGTTTTCCTGTTCCCACTGGTTTTAGATCCATGGCTAAATAGGGCTAAAACTTGTGGGAGAAATTGAAGGTTGGTCAGCGACCCTACACTGCTTATTCCTAGATCAGAGAATGTGTAAAACAATGTCCTCTAATTCCTGTGTACTTCAGTGTCCTCCAGTGGTTGAAGTGTGAATAATTTATTTGAACTCTGCTGGGAACAAATTGGAGCTGCTGCTGGTTGCATTTGATATGACTGCCTTCAGAGTTGTGCTCTGACCCCATCTACTGTTGAAATCAAAACATGGTTATGTGCATTACTGTGGATTTCTGCTTTGCTTAGTTTCTGTAGTTACTGGGTTTAATCTAACGTGCTCGTATTTTTCCTTTGCTGTATAAGGACAAGGAAAAAGCGGTAACGGATCAGCGGCGATACTCCCTGATTGACCCCTCGTCGGAGTCAGAAGTGATCCGGCTGCAGCACCGGCTCGTCAGCACGGAGGATGTGCTGCGCAATGCACTGGAGCAGGGCCACCAGATGGAGAAGCTCATGGAAGCGATGAGGCTCTCCTCCGAGAAAACACAGGTAGAACATCGGCAATCATTTCCCGGGTCGCTCAGCCCTCAGCAGTCATTTCTCTTGAGAAATCTTGTGGGACCTTGCTCTGTGCTGTGGGGGTGATGCAGTCAGCTGGGTCCCTTTCCCTCTGCTGGAAACAGCCTGGCAAGACTCTCTTCTGTCAGATATAGCTTAAAATTAAGAAAAGCCTTGCTAATTGGTAATTACAGATCCTTTTGTGCTCTGCAAGAATGGTTGCTAAATGTGGTGTTTTGGGGAAGGTTGCAGTGTGAGTAACTGTTCTTTATGTGTACAGTGACGTGGCTGCATATCCTTGCAGTACAGGCACTTCATAATATGAAAGTTGAGGGTTTCTGCCATCCATGTTCTTTGAGAGGTTTATTTCCTTGCAGTCCATAAGCAGAAACTTTGGAGGTGACTGGGAAAATGTTTTCCATTTCTCTGACCAGTTCCTGGAGGCATCTCTGTATCTGATCTGAGTTTACTGATGGACCATGGATGTTCCCATTCCAGTTGCCATCTTCTCTTCCCAGCTTCCTGTGGTCTTCCCTTGTTTCTTCTGACAAAAGCAAAACTGCCTCTGTTTGTGAAACTGAAGGCTGCAAATAACTTGACTCTCCACATTTGGCTTTTTCTGTCTCGTACCTGTGGTGTCTAAGCCCTAACTGATTCCTCCTATGAAGTGACCTGCCCCTTGTGCCAAGCTTTGTGCTTCATGTCCTTTTTTACTCTTCTAGCTGTGTTTTCTCTTGTGTCTGCAACCAGGTCATGGCTTGTCAGAGCCCAGATGCACCAGTGCTCCTCTTGTACTTGCTCATTTAAATTCTTAGCTGAAAAATGTCTTTCTCTTGCAGTCATGAGCTACAATTCATATTCAAGCAGATACCTTAGGATGCTACAAAACAAGCCACTAGACACAGACAATAGGCAGAGAGCTTGTTTTCCCTGATGCAGGTGCAGATATGTTGTGGTAGGTAGTCTGCGGGTATCAAATCTTCTCCTCCTCCATGACACTTTCGTCTGCACAGTTTGCAGATACACTAAATGGCTGTTTGCATTGCAGTAGTACTTGCAGGGAGGCAGTCAGGAGGAGGGTGCATGGTAAAAATTGCAGCCCCGAAAGCTCTGCTGGCTCAGCTGAGCATCTGTGTTGCAGACAAGTTTCTTTATATCCCGCAGTGCAGCGGCAGCAGCCGTCTGCCAGCACCAGACAGGACAGCTGTAGTCGTGATGACAAGTTTGTGGCAGTCCAAGATGTACTATAATCCTGTCAGTACCTCCAGAGTGACTTTAGCTTCTGCCGTAATTGCTATGTGTCAAATGAAAATGCATCATGACAACCTCGTCTGTTGGAAGCTATGGGAGGGGTGGGGAAAGTTATTCTGTTTGCTTTAATGCTAAGTCCCTTGAGAAAAGGAAATCTTCCCTTTCACTTTCCTGTCTCCAGAGGTGGTGCCAGGTGGTAATTATTTCTTCCCCAACTGTAGAAAATAACTAACTTACATAAAGTGAGTTGGAGTGGGCCTTGTGAGGTCAGCTAATCTATCCCTGGTTATTACTCTGATACTTTCATGCTTAAGAAATCTTAAGAGATACAAGATAGTATGCCTTCAACTGCAAACTGTGCTATTGAGAGACAGATGGAGGATTATTGTGGGAAGCTAGGCTTCAAACTTCTATTGATGTCAGATTTTTGAAGCACCTAGTTACAAGGAAGTCTGGATCAAAGCTCCCTAGTTGCGGTATGATACCTGTTCATCCTTCCCCTTATGAAGCAGAGTTGTTAACCAGGGGCTTTCAGGCTGAGCCTGAGGACATTGCCTGGCCTAAAGAGATCCTGGTGCAATAGTTAGGCAATTGATGGTTCTTCCCTAGAAGCCACATTTCTGCTGTAACCCATTCTGCACTACCTTCTGACCTCCCATCTCCTCTCTGACAGCAGCAGCTGTTGCCCAGGAATCTGCCTTGGCATTGCTCTCCCTTTGTCTGCAAAGCCTTCACTTCGCAGCATGCTCAAGAAGAAAATCTCTAATTACCAAAAGCTGCTGCTGCTCTCCCTTCACAGGCTTAGTCAGCCACTACGCTCTGCAGTCCTTGATGTGCATGGCTGGCTCTGCTGTTAGACGAGGAGGTGCAGGAGCTGGGGGAACATAACGGCACCTTGTCTTCGTCTCATGTTGAGTAATTGCTGCCTTGCTGTGTCCGTCCCTGCAGTTGCAAGGTATTTGTCCTATAAAGGAGGAAGAGGATCTTTGCCTTCTTCGTGTCTTGGGAGACCCTGATCTCACAGCTTTGCAGGAAATGACAAGGATTTGGCACTCAGGCCTTTTCTTGGGAGAATTTGCAGTGATTGCTCTGGGAGCTTTTTTTTATTTAATTTCAAGCAAATTGGACCACTTTGTTCATTACTGTGACCATGTACTGAGACCAAATTTCAAACCTAATTCCTAGTATCTGATAGCTGCTTAGTGCACAGATCGGGTGTGCTGCAGGTAGGATATATTGCCTTGTGCAAGGCCTGAATCGCCTGTGGTGGTGGGTGCAGACCCAAAGCTGAGTTACTATGGCAGCACTGTTCCGGCCATCCATCCAGGTAGGATTCGCTGCCCAGCAAACAGTTCAGGCTCTCAAAGCAGAGCTCAGTTTGAATCTCTGCTTGCTTTTCCTGCTCAAATGAAACCTCTGTCCCGTAGGGTTGATTATGCACCTTCACGGTCACAGTAAGAATGGAAGTTGGGTATCTGGGACTCCTCTAATGACGGGTTTTAAACCTTGCAGTCTTGTCTCCCCATAATGTCTGGTTTTGCTGCCATCAGCAGTTCACCAACAACTGTGAATCTGATTACCAAGACCCAAGCAACTGACATCTGGCATGCTGTGACTTCAGGCTGCAGCTTTCTGCTCTTGTTTGTGCTGGTTGTACTGTCATTTTGAAGCTGAAGGGCTCCATATTATCCTTGCTAAAGAAACATTTATAAACGTTTAAAAGTTCTTGTGCTTTATAAAGACAGAACAGCCTGTCCTGGCTGCCAGACTTGTCCCCAGAGATGGGAAACAGGGGATGGCAAATGTCCTTTTCACTGCTGGGATGTTCACTGTGCTGTGTTTTGCAGCAAATGCTGCCCTTTGAGAGATTGTTTATCAGGATTTAAGAGTCGGAAGTAAAGAGTGGGTCTGTGTCCATGAGGAACTCGGGGGATGTTTTGTAGCTGGGAAGGATGCAATCCAGCAGAGGGCAGGAAGCTTCTTGCCAAAATTGGGGTGGGATTTTTGCATTATCCTTTCCTTGTGTGGAGTGGGCTGCTAAGGAAAGAGATGGCAGTCTTGCCAGATCTCAGCACTTGTAGGCAAAACCACTAGGCTCTGTGTCACTCTTCAGTAAGTACTGTCCGTTCTCCATTGCAGACTGTTGGAAATTCTGGGTCTGCTAATGGGATTCACCAGCAAGATAAATCCCACAAGCAAGAGGTATGTTAAAAGCTGAATGTTGTTTGAAACAATGACTGCTTCATGTGATTTCTTGCCTGCTGTGCTGGGGACAGCTCTTGGATGGAGGCAGTTCAGCCAGCAAATCCTGCCTGTGTCATTGCCGTAGTGAAAGCAAGGGGCTTTGCACAACTCCAGTTCCCAAGCATGGTGGGAGCCTTGCCTTACCATTAAAACCACTTGAAGCCATCAGGAAAACGCTAGCGAGATGCACACTGAAGTGCAATGGGTGCATGCTCTGGGAGAAGCAGTGAGGAGGGAGTTTCCCTTCAGATGCCTGGGTCAGTGCCTGTGTGACTTTTCTCCTGGCAGCCCCAGCTAGAACCTGCTCTGTCTCAGATCTCTGCCATCCCCTTTACATGGGTGGCATTCATGGGACGTGCTGTCCTGGTCTCCCACGGTTTTCATGATGTAGGGCAAGATGACCTCTAAAGGTCCCTTCCAACCCAAAGCATTCTATGATTCTATGATCTGTAGCCTCAGACTTCATTTCAGGATGGCCAGCCTGAGGAGGAGGCAATGTGGCTTACTGGGCAAAGCAGTGGGTCAGGACACAGCAGACCTGGCAATATCCCACTCTGTGCCTCCGTTTCCTCTTCTGTAGAAAGACCTCTGTGCTTGCCCTCATTTTGCCTAACAAGGTCTCTTTTTCTTTCAGGAGAAGCTCTGATAGAGAACGGTTGAAGAGGATCATTTCACGCCAGTATCGGCTCCTGTGCACAGTCAGGAAAAACAATACCCCATCTGGCTTTAGCACCTCCAAAAGACTAGACACGGTATTTTCACTTTAAAGCAGGACAATGTTTATAATAGTCTAACTGATGTAATCGGGACAATCCTGGAGCCCAGTTTTCCAAGGCAGCCATTGTTCCAGGAGGGAGCAGAAAGGTCTCTCTGGGTTTGGTTTCTTACCTGTATTGGTTTTGACTGTGGAATTTGTACTGCTTGAGCTGCCCTTGTCCCACCAGCTGACGTGGTCTGGATGACAGCTGCCCTGAACGGTGGCTGAACTGCCAGCAAGTCCCAGTAACCCCACAGGAGCTGCACAGGGATTTACTTGTGGCGTTCAACTCCAAAGCGCATGCCCAGAGGCTGCACGCTTCCCACGTGGTCTGTCCCTTCCCTTCTCCCCACCCCAGTGTCTTGCAGACCTGCACAAGCGAGTGAAACCTGCTGTGTTGACTGTTCATGCTGGCACGTGTAGGCTGAGGAAGACGGAGTGTGGGGACGTGTTTCCCTCCTCACCTTATAGAAGACATCGCTGTTCTAGAGCATGGAGGCTGCACTTAGTACTTGTATCATAGTATGTTGTGGGAAATAATCCAGTTTCAGAGGGGTATTTATTTTGTTCCTCACCTGCTGCTGTTTGGGGAAGGAGCTGTGGTGGCCCTGAGTTTGGGGACAGGCACACCTCGCTCAGGTGTAGTTGGCCTTTCTTCCTGTAGAGACATCGATGAGCAGGGCTGCCGATGCCCTGGGCCACAGCCAAGCTGCCCAGCCTGGTCCCCCTCACTTGTGTGTGTGTTTTATTGATTCTTTTTTGAGCACAGGACTCCACAGACGGCTGGATCTCGGCATCGCCAGCCTGAGAGCTCCATGCTGGCTGCAGTCAGTGTGGCACAGATGCCTTGAGGAAATGGTTCCATCCTTGCCTGTTCAACAGCTAATCGGGGGTTGCCTGGCCATTCTCCAGAGCTATCCTTGGCTCAAGTGTGATGCCCATCTCCTACTACCAGGAATGGAGGAGGCTAAGGTGCTGCTGTGAGCATTCATGCAGTAGTGGCTGTCTGTATTTGATGGGCACAGCAATCGTCTGTGCATGACCTGAATACAAGCATTTGGAGCAGAAGGAATCCAAGACTGGAGCCCACACAGCTCTTGTGTCCGTATGCAGCAGTGCAGGCCCAGGCAAGGGTCTGGTTCCTTCTTTGGAAGGTGTTACTCTTCTCTTTAACTTTGCACCACAGCTCCCAAGGGAGGTTAGGGTGGAGGAAGGTGACAATATGCTCTTAAAGGTGCAAGAGAGTCCAATTCAGATTTGCTGTTCAATACCACAGGGAAGAGTTGCAGCAGTATTTTACCAGGCTTCCCCTAGTTAGTGCCCAACTCCTCCAGTCTTCAGAAGCTCTTGTGTTATGATGGGGCATCTGTGGAAGAGGACAAGACAGAAGAGACCACTGAGAGAGGAGATCTGAGCCAGACCACAGGCAGATGCACATCACAGTATGTCAGCTTCATTACTTTTTGCCCTGATTTCCTACAAAGTTGTGTTACTTTTTCTGAGTGGGTTGCCAGACTTCTACTTCTGTGAAGGATGGGTGGCCAGAAGCAACCTGGGAAAGACTTGAGCTTCATGGCTGCAATTCTGCCATGAGGAGGATGTTGCTGAATCTGGGCTATGATACAATACTGGACCCTGCTCACTTCATGCAGGATTGGTGATCTCCCTCCATTCAAAGGGAGGATGAGAGAGGAAGGTGACTTCAGGGGAGTAAAGCAGGTCAGAAAACACAGCTTAAATCTGGCACATGGCATGGGGAGGCAGAGCTTGGGATCTAATTGGCTGGACATAATTCAAGTAGGATCCCATCCTGCCTTGTAGAAGTGTTTTATCAGCTCTTAGTAATCACCAGGAAGATTGCCACATCTCTGTCTAGCTCTGGGACTTTCCCAAGGGATCACAGGGGTGGTCTCCAAAATCTTCCTGGCTGGTGTATTCATCTCCTAAGGGATTTAGGAAAATCCCAGAGGGGAGTGTTCCTTGCTACAGCCTGCAACAGTGACTGTGAGCTGTTGTTTTTAGGAATTTAGGGCTGGTGTTTCCCAAAGTGCTCCTGTTGGCCAGATGATCTCTGAAGTCACTGCTGCAGTTCCTGCTGGCTTGAGCGGAGCTGACACAGAGTGCTCCTTGCAGTGCTGCCTGTCCCCAAGGCCAGGGCTTCCTGGGCACCTGCAGGTGGGAGAGTCCATTCTGGTTTGTAGCTTATTTTCCCTGATAGGTCTTCTAGTGACTTGTGACGAGCGGCCTTCATCTACAGAGGAAAGGTGCTTGCATTTTCCACCTCCCTTGGTGAACCTCTGGCTCTGCACAGGGTGGGATCCCCCAGGAGTGGTTATGGGGACCACGTATTTGGCTCTGTTAAACAGATCCAAAGTTGTCAGGGTGGCAGTGGTTCAGGCTGGAGGAGTCTCTGGCTCCTCTCTCCTCCCAGGGACCATCCCCTGTGAGTGGCTCAGACCTGTGGCTCTTCCCAGTGAGCTTGGGTGAGAATGCGGAACAGCAGCAGATGAGTCCAAGCAGGTTTAAAGTTAGTGCTGATGATCTCTGGCTGTAAATAGCTGTGCTGGTCTCTGAGGATCAGCCAGGAGCTGATCGCATTTCTTGGGTTTCTGTGGAGGCTGTGCAGTCTTTGTGTGGTGGGGCCGTACCAAAACGGGCAGTGGGGCAAAGCCGGGTCCCCTGTGTCCCCACCACCCTTGGGGTGCAGGTCCGTGGGAGCGGCTCCCCAGACAGGACTGACTACAGTGTCAACAGGGCATGTCGTCACACGCTTCATCTGGGTTTCAGCTCAACCCTTTAAAGCAGCCAGGAGGGGGTTTGGACACCAGCCGTGTCCTCCCTCTCCAAAACTGGCGTAGGCTTCCTGAGGGCACCTGTCTCTGGCTGCCCCTCTGAGGTTGTAAGAGACCAAATTAGGGACAAACTTGGAAAGGACAAGGACATTCCCCAGCCCCTCTATTTATTTGTAAGTTTAATTGCTATTTTTGCCTATGTGGTGGTGTATAAAGTACTTCACAATATTTGGTCTTACTGGCTTGGTTCTTTGGGCGAGATTTTTAAGGGCATTGGAGCAGTGATGCACCCATCTCCTGTTGTTGGTCAGGGACTGGTTCCTGTTTGTGCCTTCTCTCCCTCTTCGGCTTCAGCCTTGCTCTTACCTTGGTCCCCGAGAAGCTGGTACAGGGGGGCTGCGTTCTCCCCAGCCCCTCTCCTGGCTCGTGCGTGCCATGCTGGTTCTGCATCCGGAGCTGGGTCTGGAGCATGCCTCAGAGCACCGCTGCAGGGTGGGGAGCAGGAGGTAGCCACACA